AAGCTCCGTCTATATATATAATACTCCCAGCGTGAACTGTTTATAGTCTAGCGATCTCGCAATCCGCCCTACGACGCAGTGCAGGGCTGGCTTTGTAGATCTTCCTGGGTGGATGAGGGTGCAGCTGAAACCGTGTTAGCGCCATTTCAGTCCACCTGTTCGTGGTCAATCGGTGCCGAGTACTGCCACATGCGTTTGCTCGTAGTAGACCGATAATGATCTCAGTCAACGAAAAAAAGTAGGTATACTCCGCCACTTACGGCCTCACTCATCAACTCCTGGGGTTCGATGACCGGGAAACATAAAATTGCATACAAATCTATCTACGAGAAAACACAAGCACAACGTAAAACCTAGGGTCCTAACACTATCATCTAGGACGCTTGAGTCTAGGAGAAGGTGAATGGTATAATAAACCAGTGTACTTTATTTTTTAATTTTCAAGAAGGAGCGAGTCGAAAACGTACCTTCGATTCGTCTTTGAACCAAAATGGCAGTACTCAAAGCTGCTCTGGTAGAAAATTGACAATTATTTTTGTCATACAAAAAAGAAATGGTTCATTCCGCAGTAAAGAAGGAACCTCCGCTATGATTTTGAACCAGAATGGCAGCACTAATTGCAGCCTTAGGAGAAAATTGCCAAGATCTGAAGGTACAACGTTTAAAAAAGGATTACTACTCTCTGAATAGTGCATTTATCACATTAAAAAATGGAATAAACTCCTTCTACAGCCTAAAATGTACCTTTAAGTTTGAAGCAAAATGGCCGCACTCAGAGCAACTCTGAGAGAAAATTGATAAGAAGTGAGGCACAATATTCGAAGAAAGATCGGTAGTTTATTTTATATTAAGGGTTCAGTTTGCAGTCGAAAAAGCGGCTCCAATCGTAAAACAACCACTGAAAACAGCCCTGGGAGAATCCTGATAAGAACTAAAGGGAAGATACTTAAAAAAAGGCCGACAGTTTAATTTTTCATTCTGCAGTCGAAAAAGTGCCTTCCCGCCAAATTAAACCAAAACTCAGAACAGCCCATGGAGAAAATTGATAAGAACTAAGAGTAAAATATTGTAACGGAAATGCTCCAGACATGACGTCGCCTTTGGCGCTCTGGAATTTTCTACGCGTATTCGAGAATGTTCGGGACTTGTACGGATTTGATAGTGTTTTAGTTTTGTTTAATAAATATTGATATAAATCGAACCCGAATTTATAAATCACGTTACATTGGTGTCAGAAGTGGAATTAATTAAATTAATTAAAAGTAAGTTTAAATTAAGTGCTTGTGCTTGTGTATGCCTGTAACAAGATCTGCTGCCGCTAAAATGGAAGAAACGATGCTCAATTTGCTCCAGCAAATCCAAAATGGCCAACAGGTGTTGCAACAAGAAATGAAAAGCACCCAAGAGAAGTTCGAGAAGTTGGAAGAAAATTCTAGAAAGATTAATGAAGAAAATTCTAGAAATATTCAAGAGAAGTTGGAAGAAAATTCTAGAAATTTTGAAGAGAAGTTCGAGAAAATGGAAGAAAATTCTAGAAAGATTAATGAAGAAAATTCTAGAAATATTCAAGAGAAGTTGGAAGAAAATTCTAGAAATTTTGAAGAGAAGTTCGAGAAAATGGAAGAAAATTCTAGAAAGATTAATGAAGAAAATTCTAGAAATATTCAAGAGAAGTTGAGAAGAAAAAAATTCTAGAAATTTTGAAGAGAAGTTCGAGAAAATGGAAGAAAATTCTAGAAAGATTAATGAAGAAAATTCTAGAAATATTCAAGAGAAGTTCGAGAAGTTGGAAGAAAATTCTAGAAATATTCAAGAGAAGTTCGAGAAGTTGGAAGAAAATTCTAGAAAGATTAATGAAGAAAATTCTAGAAATATTCAAGAGAAGTTCGAGAAGAAGAAAATTCTAGAAATTTTGAAGAGAAGTTCGAGAAAATGGAAGAAAATTCTAGAAAGATTATCGAAGAAGTCTCTACATCAATTGAAGAAAAAGTTGAAGATAGAATTACGGAAGTTTCCAAAACATTTAAAGCAACATTCGTTGAGATTGAGCACAAGTATGAAGAGCTGCGCAAGCAATTCTTGCGACTGACTACGAAAGAGCGTACTAGTAGTGTCCCAGAAACAAATACAAGAGTAGAAGGCGACGTTCAGCAAGCCCGAGTAAAGCCACCTACTTTTGATGGTAAGATTCCTGGGACCACGTACGTTCGACAGTTTGAAGCAGCGGCTGCGGCAAATAAATGGACTCTTCAAGACAAAACTACAGCCCTGATTCTTGCTCTGAGAGGAGATGCTCTGGATGTGTTGCGGACTATCCCGAGGATCAACAGAACTTCCAACAAATAGTAGCGCGACTCGAAATGCGATATGGCGATAAACACCTTCAGCAAGTTTACTATGTCCCAAGTCAAGAACCGAATGCAGAAACCTGGAGAAAGTTTGCAGGAACTTGAAGCGGACATCGCTAGACTGATTCGATTGGCATACCCTACGGCACCGCAGAGCTTTCTTGATCAACTGGCTGTACAAACATTTATCGATGCCGTTCGTGATGGAGATGCCCAGCAGGCTTTGAGATTGGCTAGGCACGACAAAATTGAGAAAGCTTTGGCCCATGCGTTAGAATTCGAAGCCGCCAAGAAAGCTAGTCATGGAAGTGCGCGAGTACGTATGGTGGAACCTCGCAGTGAGAGCCGGGTAAGAACCATCGAAGAGGAAGGTGGCTCTGAAAGTTTTGAAGAAAAGGTCAGTAAAGAAGTGGAAGAAAAGATCAATAAAGCAATACAGTCACTGGCAAAGAAACGTGAACCACGGCGAGATTGGACACGTTCGCCGCAACTGCCAAAAACCATTACAGCAGTCGGAAAACTAAGAAAGGTCGACAGGAAGGGGCTATCCCCGACCTGCAGAAACAAAGCCCCGGTCTGCACTGTAAACATTACGTCGTCTGGAAAAGTTCACAATAATGCAGACGCTTTGTCAAGAAGACCGTGCAAAGACAACTGCACACATTGTTCTAAAATAGAAGACAAGATTGGCCATCTGCGACGAACAACTGTAGAGAGTGAGGAATGGAAGCCAAGCGAAATCAAAACGGCCCAAGAAAACGACCCAAGTATAAAAACTGTTCTGAATTGGATGCGCCACGGACAAAGACCAGACTGGCAAGACATTAGTGCCACAAGTCCTGAAGTAAAGAGTTATTGGGGCCAATGGAATAGCCTGACTCTGAAAGACAACCTGTTGTATAGGACCCTTGAAAGTGAAGATGGCACCGAATCGACGCTGCAATTAGTAGTACCTAGAAGCAAAGTGTCGGAAGTATTGCGAAAATTGCATGACGGCGCTTCCGGAGGACACTTTGGTATTACGAAAACGTTGCAAAGGGTACGTGAGCGATTCTATTGGGTCAACCGTAAAGAAGATGTCCGGCGATGGTGTCAAAAATGTGAGTTATGTGCTACTGGAAACGGACCAGTTTCCAAGAAGAAGGCACCCATGAGGCAGTATAACGTTGGTAGTCCGATGGAACGAGTTGCTATCGATATCGCAGGACCGTTTCCCGAGACAGATGGCGGAAATAAATATATCCTAGTGGCTATGGATTATTTCACAAAGTGGACTGAAGCTTACGCTATTCCAAACCAAGAGGCAGCAACAGTTGCAGAAGTGTTGGTAAAGGAGTTCTTTACACGTTTTGGTATTCCTATAGAAATCCATTCAGACCAAGGAAGGAACTTTGAATCGGCTTTGTTCCAAGATGTTTGTCGATTGGTAGGAGCCAATAAAACCAGAACAACACCTTTGCATCCTCAGTCAGATGGAATGGTGGAGAGAATGAATCGAACGATGGGTAAATATCTTTCAAAAGTCGTGGCAGAACATCAGAAAAATTGGGACCAGTACCTCCACCTATTCCTTATGGCATATCGATCAGCCGTCAACGAGACCACGGGTTACAAAAAAGATTAGATTCATTCTGCAGTCAAAAACGTGCCTCCGGTCACAATTAAGATCAAACCACTTAAAACAGCGCTAGGACAAAATTAATAAGAACTAAAGGAAACAATCAAAAAAGGACTACAAAAAATAGGCTGATTCTGCAGTTGAAGAAGTCGTAATTAAAACCAAAATTACATCATACAAGAACTAAAAGGAAAATATTCAAAAAAGAACTGACAGTTTCCGTTACAATAGGCAGGTTCTTCTGCAGTCCAAAAAGTGCCTTCCAGCCGTACTTGAAACCAAAATGACACGACCCAGAATAGTCCGGAGAGAAAATTGATAGGAATTAAAAGGAAAATATTCAAAACAGTACTAACTGTTTATTTTTGGGTTACAAAAAGGACGGGGTTCATGCTGCAGTCAAAAAAGTGCCTTCAGGTTCGGTCGAAATTAAAACCAAAATGATCCTACTCACAGTTGTGAGAGAAACTTGATAAAATTAAAGGGGAAATATTCAAAAAATTACTGACAGTTTACTCTTGGGTTACAAAAGGGGTTGGGTTCATTCTGCAGTCGTAATTAACAGCACTGTGAAAAAATTGGTAAGAACTAAAGGAAAAATATATTCAGAACAGGGCATTTTGTTACAAAAAGAGGAAGGTTCATTTGCATTTGAAAAAATGCCTTCAGTCGTAATTGGAACTGAAATGATACCGCCCAGAACAGCACTTGGAGAAACTTGATAAAAACTATAAGGAAAATATAACGGGACTTTGTGGCGCATTTTATCTATTATAATTTACTGTTACGCCTTACTTTTGACCCTAACCTTATCGAACTGTCAGTCCACTTTGACATCTCTCCATGTTGTTAAGATTCTGTCGCATTGTAACCTTTTCTTAACCTTAATTTTTTGTAAAATGTAATTTGTATAGTTTTAGTGAAGTTTAAGGACGTTTGGTGCCTCTCTTAAGAAAGTATAGGCAAGGAATCTTAGTAACAACTAAATCGTTTAATTGAAGGAAATTATATGTAGGTAAAAAATAAATTTAATATTTCAGATATTATAAATTTTTAATAGGTACGTATCCACCGAGGTATCCACTTATTGAACAATAGCCAGTAACCATTTCTGGAGGCTTCCCGAGGTCCGGTACTGTAACAATACGGTTGTTAATCTATGCGAAGGTAAAATACTTACTTTTATGAAATCCGAAAACGTTCTATAGTTCCTTTCAGATCGTGTTACAACAATTCGAATTAATGTTGTGTGGTCCTCGGGTTTGTCCAGCAAACAATTTTCCAAAAAAAGGCTTGGGGCTTTTACACATCTCAGTATTGCCAGCAATACTTCTTGTTGGATATCAAAAAAATTCTCGCGAATATCATCCTCAAGGTTTCCATATTCTTCTCTGTATGCCCCCAAAATCCTATCCCGTTCAGGTTTGTGATGTTGGAAAAGAATGTAAATCAAAGTGCGTATACCGTCGCCATATTCTATACTGCAATTTAACTGTTGCGCCCGATAGCGAGCTGGTTTTGATCCATCGCGCAAATATGCATATCTTTTCACCTAAAGCAAACGGGTAAAACCTTACGTTACACATTAGCATTGCTGTTACGTTAAAAATTGATTTGAATAGCTCCCTTGCCCACCAAGGAACATTTGCACGTTTCATATCAATTCCAAGGGTATCCTCCTTATCATCTCCAGATTGACATGCCAAAACGTTTGCGTAGACTAGAAGGAGCAACATAAAATAAAAGATGAGGGGAAATCACTTACTTCTTCTGTAAGCATCCTCTACACCCGCTCTTTCGTAATCAAACAAAGGGCACACAATCTCAACTATTGCAGTGAGATTGACCTCCTCCTCAGTTAAAATTTTTTTCAGTTGAATGGCATAGTAGTCATAGCGTGGTATCATTAGAGCGATGATGACCTCCTTAACATCCTCACCTAACGTACAGATTAGCTCCGAGATTAGATCCTTAAACTGACGCTTAAAACAATTTCTAACTTTAAATTCTTACTTTTCGGTACATTAATTTATACTGTTCGCAAATTTTTTGAATGTAATCGTTGGTTCTTTTAGTAATTATTTTTATTATTGCGTCCTCATTCCCACCGGCTGCACGAAGCGCTCTAGCATCCTCCTTGGGATCGTGCTTACCGCTCCACATGACGTAACCTGAAGTACGAAAGGTAAAATACAGATTTTCGGGTTTTGATTTCTTATAAAAACTAGTTGGGCATTTTCATTTTACTTTAAATGTCATAAATCTTCAGAAATTTCCATTTTTTTCTGTATAAGTTTGCAAGAAAGGCTCGGATATGGACCAAGTTTTTCGAATTCCTATTTGAAGCTAGGATTTTTTGAAATATGTGACTTTTTCAAAAATTTCGATCAAAATGGCCGTCTCCGGATCTGCATCCTATTTAGATCATAAATTCGCTACAGGTATTTTAGTATCGATTTTCATGGGGAGAACAAATTATAGTAAAATTTTCCCATTGAAGGTCTTTTATTTGGCGAAATACGAAAAATTTGTTATAATTTTACATGTGACATTACGATCTATCCGATCGCATATTGTAACTACCGGTATAACTTCCGGTTTAAACGGAATTGGAGAAAACTTTTATTTTTCAAATGTAATGCTTATGTTGTTAAGGTCTTTGACAAGAGCCATTAATTTGCTACACAATAACATAAAATATACATATGCTTGATATACAAAAAATGTAGCATGCCGTGTGCTATCAGGATGCGTGGTGTCTGTTATTACACAGAAAGACCTACATCCGGAGTTTGAACACGTCAACACGTAACTAAAGTAAGACCAAATATGATCGTGTCATGAAACGCCAAATATCTTCGACGGTTGATAAGAGTGGTCGAGTAGTGCCTTGATGCTTGAACCAAAATGGCGGCGAATGCCTTCCGGCCGTCTGCACAAAATGGTGGATGTGTCCGACTGCGTGTCTAAACACGGTGTGATCTCATAATAATTCCGTCAGATTGCGAATGGCCTTCCTGATGCCTAAAAAATTACAATAGAATACTCAACCTATTTGTAGCGGTATCTGTGCTAGCAACAGCAAATTTTTTGTAATTGCACCAAGGACGAATGTACCTTGAACTGCAACTGGTCACTTGGCCGTTTCAATAATTTAGTTTTGGATTCGTATTTTGTTCAAAATAGGAAAATTTACACATATACCGCTTCATAGCGAACGTGAACAAAAGTATGTCTAAAATACGAGCGATAACAACGTGTCCATTTCGCGAAGAACGCAAGCTGCTTCTGAGATAAACGCTAGGAAGACCAGATTGTAAGGGAGTTTTCAGCAGATAGGGCTACACTCTCAAACAGTTATCAATCATGTACGGGGAGAACCTTTAAATATCGCATTTTTCAAGAGTGGGCAAGTTTTTTTGTTTTATTAACGTAGTGGCGCGTTAAAAAACTTCGATTACGCCGTTGGGAAACAAAGTCGAATGTGTAGTAAAGTACGAGTTACCGACGAGTTTAACTTTACGTAGAAAGGAGAAAAACTGCGGACTGCAGCCTCGTAGCAAGACTTACAAGTGATAAAATAAAACCTTTCCCATATAATTTTATTGTTGAGGGAGTGAAGAATAAAATTATATGGGGGAGATTTAGAGTTTCATTGCTACAATTTCATTCAACCCCATTTTGAGAAATGATGGATATGTTATTCTCAATAGCCGAAATCGGAGTGTGCGAAATTTATACCCAAAACGCGTTGTTAGCAACGCAGTTTACCCAGAATGCGATAAGATTAAACGTTTACGATGAACGGGTAAAAAAAATTAATTAAAACCGCTTCACCCACAACTCGAAGCCAGTACTCATGTGCTCTTGTTTCACGTTGAGAGGGTATCTTGGTTTGCTCACGTCGCATTTCTTGTAATACGAATTAGCCATAACGCGTTTAAATGAAACCAGTGAAAGTAAATGGAAAATCCAACTTTGTTTGCGAAACAACATTCCACCCTTATAAAAATTTAGTTTAAAGGAAGTAATATCACTTACTTAATAACATTTATTACGCAACGTGGCATAGGTAGACGAAGATATCCACAACGCGAAGCAGGAGCACATGGGATTTGGATTCGAATTGTGGGTCAATAAATATGCCCGATCTCGGCTATTGAGAATAACAGATACAGTTAAAAAAAATGATAAAATTTGCACAAAAGAACATTTTCGAGTCGGAAAAGCGTCTTTCAAATAAAAAACGAGAATAACGACTGTTCTTCTATTGCTGAAAATGAAAAAGAAATTTGATGCATTTTTTAAAATTGCAATCGAAGTAGCATAGTTTTCGACGCCATAGAAACAAGAAAATGATTTTTGATCATACATTGTTTGGACAAGGGCTTCTTATCCCACTGAGTGTGGTAATGAAGTTTTTATCCCACTCAAAATGACCGAGATAAGTGATAGTTATCCTACAGGCGCAGATAAATAAATATTATTATATTAAAACTCATTGTAATAAACAAGAAATTTCTTTTTTTTCGGATCGCTAACAGTAACGGCTGGTTAAAAGCAAATTCCTAAATTTTGAGTGGCGCCTCTGGATTGGACAGCGCCTTGGGCGATAAATAAATATGGCATAGGAAGGCATGCGGCAGGGAATTTAAAGACAATTAATTGATGCATTTGCTCGCAACAAAACCCAGTTAATAAATTGGGCAAAATTAATATCAACACAGCGGAACATTGGTATTTTATTCCTGTGTATAATCACTATCTCCAGCTTCGAGAATGGGGTCATCTCGCCTTCATTTTTTATTTCTGATCCACAAAGTACATTAAAAATAAAAAGACCCGTGTGTCCTCAATTTTTATTTGCGAGTAAAATAAACCCAAAATAAATTATTGAAAAGCTGTGTTTTTAGTCCGAATTTGAAACGCTTCAGACTAAATACGTCACAAACCTACAACCAATCACGTAGAAGTGAGCTGGCAACCTTACGCGAGGGTCTGACGTTTGTCACATTTGACGTTTTGAGAGGGATGTTTAACTGCATCTAGCACGAAAGTGACAAGTGCCTGTGACAGATGACGCAAGTTATAAATGCCATTCTCCTGCAATATTGCCAAGTCGTTATGTCATCTGAATGGTTCTAGGAGCTGATTGGTCGGGCTTATTACGTCACAGAGCCCGCCACAATCATATCGTTTTGAATAAACCTTTAAAACCGCACATGTTCATTATTTTTTTGCTAATCAGCCTCTATTTTTAAATAAACTTTTACTGTCCAAAAAAATGTTTTATGGTTTCAGGTACACGCTTATTAAATTAGAACTGCGGAATTCAACTATACTGTAAACCCCCATTAGATAGTTTGCTCGTATTCGCGTTCATATGCAGCAGCAGCAGTATTGTCAACAGGAGTTAGAGCAAAAGGTCGACGGGGGCAGAAGTTTGCAACCAGCAGATATGCATCGAGTGTCCACCTTTTTGGAAAGATAAGTCGCCCCTTTGTTTTCCCCGGTGGAGGTGCAGTTTGAAAAATGTGGCAAAAAAAATGTTAAAGTTCACGGTGACTTCTTCGAAGTCTCTATTATATTATATTATTATATTATAATTTATAAAAGTGAATCTTGCTTGTGGAAAGTTACGGCAAATGTATATTTTATATAAAAAATATTATTTGCGCACAATCGACTGCTTTAGACGTGCGAAAAATCACAACACGAAATTTAAATCCATTCTTGTCGAATTATTAGGGTCGCAGAATTTAATGTCGCTCGTTTAAACTTCCGCTATTGTTCGTGTTTATCGTAATAGTTTCTAATTCGCAATTTATCTATTGTAGTTGAGGGTCACCAAAACTTTTATTTCGTGCGCGTTTGTTTTACACTTCGCTACGTACCGTATTAGCACGAAATTTCTACGAAAATTCAACTCATATATAAAAAATCGCATAAGCCGCAGTGCAATTGTCACTTTGACAGCGGCAAAAGTTACCTGCAACTTTTCCAGCGACAAATGCACTAGTGGTTTTTTCACTTATTCATTTTTATCCAATTATCGCATTATCCTTTCCCATATGACTAGTTTGACGTCTGTCAATAATTGATTAATTTGGTGAATTTCTTGTTCGTTAAATTGTCCTGCCGAATTACACTCGAGGTTTGTATTTAAACTGAGTAAATTTGGGTTGTTGCAATTCAAATCTGTTTCCTTTTAGCAATTGAACTCGAAAAACTGTCAACCTAAAAATGCTCCACCTCCGGTGTCGCATTTTTATTAGTTGACAGTTTTTCTCGTCTAATTGCTAGGCAACAGATTTTCATTACCTAAACAACCCAAATTTACTCGGTAAAATATAAACCTCTTGTGCAATTATAATAGTGACAATTCAACTCATGTATAAAAAATCGCATAAGCCGCAGTGAAATTGTCACTTTGACAGCGGCAAAAGTTACCTGCAACTTTTCCAGCGACAAATGCACCTAGTGGTTTTTTCACTTATTCATTTTCGAACCAATTATCGCATTACCCTTTCCCATATGACTAGTTTGACGTCTGTCAATAATTGATTAATTTGGTGAATTTCTTGTTCGTTAAATTGTCCTGCCGAATTACACTCGAGGGTTGTATTTTAAACGAGTAAATTTGGGTTGTGGGAATTTAAATCTGTTTCCTTTTAGCAATTTGACTCGAAAAACTGTCAACCTAAANTCTTTTCACCTAAAGCAAACGGGTAAAACCTTACGTTACACATTAGCATTGCTGTTACGTTAAAAATTGATTTGAATAGCTCCCTTGCCCACCAAGGAACATTTGCACGTTTCATATCAATTCCAAGGGTATCCTCCTTATCATCTCCAGATTGACATGCCAAAACGTTTGCGTAGACTAGAAGGAGCAACATAAAATAAAAGATGAGGGGAAATCACTTACTTCTTCTGTAAGCATCCTCTACACCCGCTCTTTCGTAATCAAACAAAGGGCACACAATCTCAACTATTGCAGTGAGATTGACCTCCTCCTCAGTTAAAATTTTTTTCAGTTGAATGGCATAGTAGTCATAGCGTGGTATCATTAGAGCGATGATGACCTCCTTAACATCCTCACCTAACGTACAGATTAGCTCCGAGATTAGATCCTTAAACTGACGCTTAAAACAATTTCTAACTTTAAATTCTTACTTTTCGGTACATTAATTTATACTGTTCGCAAATTTTTTGAATGTAATCGTTGGTTCTTTTAGTAATTATTTTTATTATTGCGTCCTCATTCCCACCGGCTGCACGAAGCGCTCTAGCATCCTCCTTGGGATCGTGCTTACCGCTCCACATGACGTAACCTGAAGTACGAAAGGTAAAATACAGATTTTCGGGTTTTGATTTCTTATAAAAACTAGTTGGGCATTTTCATTTTACTTTAAATGTCATAAATCTTCAGAAATTTCCATTTTTTTCTGTATAAGTTTGCAAGAAAGGCTCGGATATGGACCAAGTTTTTCGAATTCCTATTTGAAGCTAGGATTTTTTGAAATATGTGACTTTTTCAAAAATTTCGATCAAAATGGCCGTCTCCGGATCTGCATCCTATTTAGATCATAAATTCGCTACAGGTATTTTAGTATCGATTTTCATGGGGAGAACAAATTATAGTAAAATTTTCCCATTGAAGGTCTTTTATTTGGCGAAATACGAAAAATTTGTTATAATTTTACATGTGACATTACGATCTATCCGATCGCATATTGTAACTACCGGTATAACTTCCGGTTTAAACGGAATTGGAGAAAACTTTTATTTTTCAAATGTAATGCTTATGTTGTTAAGGTCTTTGACAAGAGCCATTAATTTGCTACACAATAACATAAAATATACATATGCTTGATATACAAAAAATGTAGCATGCCGTGTGCTATCAGGATGCGTGGTGTCTGTTATTACACAGAAAGACCTACATCCGGAGTTTGAACACGTCAACACGTAACTAAAGTAAGACCAAATATGATCGTGTCATGAAACGCCAAATATCTTCGACGGTTGATAAGAGTGGTCG